TGATGCTGAAATCGGGGGGATTTGGGGCAAGACGGGGGGGGGCGACACCGCAGGGTACAACGAGCGAGTGAAGCTAAAGGACAATGTTCCTGCAAGAACAAGTGGCTATAAACTGGCCCTGGACAAATTCAGGCTGGACGTTAGACGGTTTCTCACCATCCGCAGGGTGATCTTCTGGGACAGTCTCCCACTGGGAATTGCAGGGAGCAAACAGCTGAATTAGTTGTAAGAAGGAGCTGGGCAAATGGCTGAGGGCCATTGTATGACGGGGTTGCTTGGGAGGGTGGGGAGTGGGGCTTGACGTCCTGGGGTGGAGGGAAATACATTCCAGTTTCTTTCTTATGTTCTGAAGATCTCAGGCTTCCGGGCTCTGGCCAGTCGCCTGCAGGGGTCAGGAAGAAATCCCCTCCCCTGCCTGCCCAGAATATTCTGGGCTTTTCTCTCTTTCTTCTGGAGCATCGGGGATGGCCAAGCCAGAGATGGAACGCTGGCTGGGTGGGTGGCTGGGCCAGGGATCTGAGTTGGCACCAAAGATTCTTTCTCTCCGGTGCTTGGCTGGCTGGGTCTTGCTCATCTGGGTCAGCAGCTGTGTTTATGGGGGTTTTTTCACCTTCCTCTGCAGCATGGGGTGCGGGTCATTTGCCAGGATCATCCATCCTATCCTCTCCCTGTAGCACATAATAGTTTATGGCCTGTGTGCTGTGATACTTCAGTCTGATTTCAGTTGTTGGGTTGGTGTGCGGGGCTTGATGGCCTGTGAGGTACAGGAACTCAGAGGAGTCCCTCCCTTCGGGCCTTCAATGCTATGACTTTATATAATCAGGGGGTCTTTGGTGGAGAATTGAGCATGACAAAGAAATCAGGGTGATTTCATGGCAAATTCAGTGTGAGAAACACACATCAGGGGGATTTGGTGCAGATATCAGCAGGGGAGATGGAAATCAGGGATTCGGTGCAGAATTCAGCGTGCAAAACAGAAATCGGGGGGAATTGGGTGCAGAATTTGGTGTGTGTGATGCAGGATTCAGTGTCAGTGATGGGGGAAATCAGGGAATTTGGGTGCAGAATTCAGTAAGTGTGAAACAGAACTCGGGAATTTGGGTGCAGAATTCAATGTGTGATGTAGAAATGGGGATTTGGATGCAGAATTCAGTGTGTGAGACAGAAGGCAGGGGGAACAGGTGCAGAATCAAGCAGGTGACACAGAAATCAGGGCAAGCTGATGCAGAATTCAGTGTGTGCATCACAGAAGTCAGGGAAATGTGATGCGGCAATCGGGGGGCTTACGTGCCGAATCCTGAGCACGTGCCGTAGAAACTGGAGGGGAGGAGGAGGTTGGTTGTTGAGGCAGCGTTCAGCGTGGGCGAAGCAGAAATCATTGGATTCTTCGAGCACGTATCTGGGTGGACCCCACGAGATCAGGCTCTTTTGGCCAGCGGTGCCCATTGTACCCTTGCCCAGCTGTAGACAAAGGGCAGAGCCAACCCAGCCAACCCCTCCGTCCCTTTTCATTGCCTGGCGCAAAATAGCATTTAGCCCTGCCCGCCTAAGCCAGATGGGCAGGGCCCGTGGGGGGAGTTTGCCTTCTGGTCCAGCGTGGGGCACCGATGCCCTGCCGGGCTCAGATGGGGGCTCATCTCACCTTTGCAGGGACATCAGCCCCCCGCCTCCATCTCTTGTGATCTGTGCCAGTTTAGTTAGCCGAGGGGTGAAAGGCTTTGGGTGTGGGATGCATTGCAGGGGGGGGCTGAGTGCAACGCATGGGTCCGTGCTAGCCAGAGGGACGGGCTGGCTGGTTGAACAGGCCCTTTCTGGGCTTAAATGGGGTTTGTTTAAAATTATTCACCCCCAAGGTCTCGGGGATACCTGGGGTTCGGCCTCATGGCTGAGATCTAGGGGTTGGCTGTGCTGGGGAATACACAGCCACCAGACCAAAACTCCCCTCCCAGAGCTGGGGATAGAACCCAGGAGTCCTGGCTCCCAACCCCCCTGCTCTAACCACTAGACCCCACTCCCCTCCCAGAGCCAGGGAGAGAACCCAGGAGTCCTGGCTCCCACTCCCCTCCCAGACCCAGGGAGCGAACCCCAGAGCCCTTGGCCGTGGGTGCTGCCCAGCTCAGCACTGGAGGAACCAGTCAAGGCTCCCTTGGTCCGGACTGTAGCCAGATGGGAATGGGGCTATGGCCCCGCCCCATTTCTCTAGCAGCAGGGAAGGCTGCCCCCTGCTGGCAGCCCCGGCACTCACCCAGCTCCACTGCGTGAGGGGGAGTCTTAATTTTTAACAGGGTCGGTTGTGGGGAAGGAGCCAGGACTCCTGGGTTTTCTCCCCGGCTCTGGGAGGGGAGTGGGGGCTGGGGAGTTAGAGCAGGGAGGGCTGGGAGCCAGGACTCCTGGGTTCTCTCCCCGGCTCTGGGTTGAGTTGAGTTAAAACCTCACTGAGATAGGCATGAGTCCCCCTTTCAATTAACAGAACTGTAACCATAAATCAACCCCCAAACCAAACACCTTCCCTAAGGGGGGGCGTGGGGTTGTTATGGGAAGGGAACCCCCCACCCCCTGAGCTGGAAAAGAGGCTTGAGGCTGGCTGCTAAGCCCCAGCTCCTTTCATTCCTGGGGCTGCCTCTGGGGCAGCGCAGTTGGTTATGCAGGGACCCTTCACCTGGCACCAAGATGCAGCCACCTCTGGGGCGGGGTGGCTGGTTATACAGGGACCCCTCGCCCGGCGCTGAGATGTGGCCACCTCTGGGGCGGGGTGGCTGGTTATACAGGGACCCCTCGCCCGGCGCTGAGATGCGGCTACCTCTGGGGCGGGGCGGCTGGTTATACAGGGCTCCCTCCCCTGGACAGTCGGCAGCACAGACAGACAGATGGACAGACAGCAGCTTGGGCGTTCTTCACAGGACATTTATTTATTGTACATTTTCACAGCATAAAGTCACTCCCCGTTCCCTCCACACGGTGCCTCGCCCCCCGCCTGCCAGGGAGCACGTGGGGGGGGGCGGGGGGAGAGACCGACCCCCCTCCCTCCGGCTGGGTCTAGGGGAATCCAGCCAGCCCTGCCCCCCCTCCACTCCCATCCCAGATGGCTTTAGAATTCGGGGGCGCTGGTCCCACTGTGGGGCATGGTGGGACCAGCGCCCCCAAAGCCGAGGGGCAGCAGTGACACCTGCCCTCCGGCCTGGGGAAAACACAGCCTGGGATCTGCCCCCCCCCCCCTTCCCCAGCAGTTCACAATCCACACAGCCTGCTTGAAGGCACCCCAGGCCGCCCCACTGCCAAGCCAGCCTCATAGGGGGCAGGTGGGGGGCAGAGCCAGCCAGGTCCTCAGCTCCCGCGTTCCCTCCAGATGGGGAGCAGAGGACCCACCAGGCTGCCCCCCCCAAAACAGGCATCGTAGGGGACCCCGCACCAACGTCCCTCCGAGCTGGCAGGGGGGCCCCCGATCCGCCCCCCCCCCGAGGGACACAGTCACACGTCACGTCTCCTAAGTGGGTGTGTGTGGGGGATCGTGCTATAAGGGCTGGCGGGGGCAGGGGTCGTGCTATGGGGCTGTCTCGGAGCTGGGAGAGGTTTAACGCTATGGGGCTAGCAGGGAAGGTTTAATGCTACAGATGATTGACTCTAGGGGGTGGGGCAGGGAAAGGTGGGGGTCACTCATCACACGACACAGGGATGCAAAGCCGGGCAGGGTCCCGGTGGGGTGGTGGGGGGATCCAGCCGGCCAGTACCCCCCAATCGTACCCTTCCCCCCCACAGCCCGACCCACTGCTTCCTCCATTGCAGAGCAGCTCAGGGGTCACCCCCTGCTGGCCACCAGGGGAACCCCCCCACTAGGGGGTGGGGGAGGGGAATGCCCCATCAGTGCCCACACCCTGTCTGGGGGGCGGGAAGTCGCTCGCTCTGGGCTGCGCCAGCTTCTTTCCCCCCTCCTAGACAAGACTTAACCAGCCTCCCCGCTATGGGATCACCGAGCCCCCCTTCCCCAGCCAGGCCTGGGCCCTGCTGCTGGGTGGGGGACACTCTGGGGCCAGACAGTTAATGGGGAGCCAGCCTGCCCCACCTTGGGACCCCATCCCACCACCCCCAGATCCCCAGAGGAGAGAAGCTGGAACTGCTGGGCCATGGGGGAGGGGTGGATTTGGGGGCTCCCCCCTTTCCCCATGCAACCCCCACTTTAAGACTCTTAAAGGGCTTAGAGCTGGGGGTGTGACACAGCACTGCCCCCTCCCCAACATGAGGTGGGGGGGCAGGAAGATCAACCCCCAGCCCCCTCCCCTCCCCCCAAAGACAGACTGCACAGTGGGCTCCAGGAATGTTACAAAAGCCCACAGGGTCGGGGCGGGGGGGGAAGAGGAAGGTAAAGAAACTCATGACACCCCCACCCCCGGCCCCACGTGGTGTGAGATACAACTGTCTCTGGGGCGGGGCAGCTGGTTATCCAGGGACCCCTCGCCCGGCGCTGAGATGCAACCATCTCTGGGGTGGGGCGGCTGGTTATCCAGGGACCCCTCGCCCGGCGCTGAGATGCAGCCACCTCTGGGGCGGGGCGGCTGGTTACACAGGGACCCCTCGCCCGGCGCTGAGATGCAACTGTCTCTGGGGGTGGGGCGGCTGGTTATCCAGGGACCCCTTGCCCGGCGCTGAGATGCAGCCACCTCTGGGGCGGGGCGGCTGGTTACACAGGGACCCCTAGCCCAGGTGCTGAGATGCAGCTACCTCTGGGGCAGGGCGGCTGGTTATACCTGTGCTGACATAGCCAAACCGGGGGACCCAGCGCTCGCGCTGCCCGGCCTCACTCTGAAAGGGCAGGGGTGGGTGCTTGAGTTTCTCAGGCTTCTGGGTTCCCCCTATTTTATTTTTGGGGAAGGGGGATTGGTCCTTAAAATATTTAAATTAAAACACTAGACACTGAAAACACCAGGGAGGGGAGGGAGCAGGTATTGGGGGGCGGATCCATGACAGCTGGAAATCTAGTAATAAATCTACAAACAGACAAAATATAGAATATATATATATGTATAAATAAGTCAGCCTATATACAGGACGGCCACACGCACCGCAAGACACGCACACACGCCACGGGGGGGCCCGGGGGGAAAGGGGAAGGGGGAGGGGGAGGCTGGAAGATATGGCTGAGATCATGGGAGGGGGGGGTCATAGCCCCTCGCGCCTCTCCCGGCCGCAGCTCCTTTGGGGGGAGGGAGGGGGGGCTTTGGCTTCCAAGGGTCCATTAAGTGCTGAAGTAAACTAGAAAGGAAAGAGAGACAGGAGCAGAGAGGAGTTAGTTCAAGATGCGGCCGCCTCTGGGGCGGGGCGGCTGGTTACACAGGGACCCCTTGCTTGGCACTGAGATGCAGCCACCTCTGGGGCAGAACGGCTGGTTACACAGGGACCCCTCGCTTGGCGCTGAAATGCAGCCACCTCTGGGGCAGGCTGATGATTATACAGGGATCCCTCTGGGGAGCCAGGGCAGCCTAAGAGCCCTACGGGAAGCACCAGTTTAGGACAGGAAGTGGGGCTTTCTTCAGAGCGAAGAGGAAGTCTCCCTGTTTAGCCCAATTGGATGTTAACCCTGGAACCTAATGATGGTGGCTGACGTTTACAGGGAGACTGGATGGGAGGGGGAGAGGGGGCAGGTGGCATTTGGGGATGGGACATTTCTGTTGCTTCATTCTGATGGGTGCCATCACCTTCATTCCAAAAATAGAGAAGGGGCTCGGGGGGAAGAAGGGGGGGGACGACGACAGGACCCAGCAGACTCCAACAGCTGGAGAAGGGGAAGTCCAGGGAGCGAGGGAAGGAAATTTCAGGCCATCCAGCAGGGCCACAGAAAGCCACACCCCTTCCCAATAACCCTTCCCCAGTTTCACCCCATAGGGTCCAGGTGCGGTTGTGGGCGGGGCCTCACAAGCCACACCCTTTCCCAATAACCCTTTGCCTGTTTCACAGCTGTACTCGGGGTGTCTGTGGGCAGGGCCAAGGAAAGCCCCACCCCCTCGAATACCTTGTTTCTGCACTATTGGCTGGACTGTGTAGGTGCTGTGGTGGGTGGGGCCTGTGGGATGGAAAAAAGCTCCACCCCCTTTATTTCTGCACTAAGGGGAGAGGGGTGGGTGGAGTTTCTGTGTGGGCGGGTCCAAGGAAAGCCACACCCCTTCCAATAACCCTTTGCTGCCCTCTTTAGGGGTGGCTGTGGGTCTGTCTGTGGGTGGGGCCAAGGACAGCCCCGCCTCCTCATTGCCACACCCCCATGACAGGTGCCCAGCTGCCTTTCCCACATCCCAAGAGCAGGTGGGAGCGTCCCTAGGGAAGGGGGTGGGGGTCACATAGCCACCCCCCTGCCCACCAGCCCCCCCTCCCCCAAACCCCCACTCACCAATGATAATGATCAAGATGATGGCGCATATCACCCCCAGGATAATCATCATCTGTGGGGAGAGAGACCATGAGCGTCGGGGCCGCGGGAGGGAAGTGGGGGGCAGGGGTTTGGGGCCAGGAGGGGAGCCCTGGGGGAGGGCAGAGGGTCAGAGGGAGCCAGGAAGGGCAGCTATGGGGCAGAGAGTGGCAGGGATGAGGAAGATGATATAGGGAGGGTTGTAGGAGGCCGTGGGGAGACAGGGAGCTGTGGGGGGGTGATACGGGGGTCCACAGGGGACTGTGGGGAGACGGGGGGGGCTGCAGGGGGCCATGGGGGGAGTCAGTGGGTTGCAGGAGGCCATGGGGAGATGTCAGTGGGGAGATAGGGGGCTGGTGGGGGGGGAGACGAGGGGGGCCATGGGGACTGCAGAGCGCC